TGAAATAAAATTTATGTGAAGTATTTGGCTACTTTAATGAGACTATTAATATTAGTAGAATTACCGACAATATGTGCATTTGTGTCCTTTTATTTAACATTTTAATGATGAAATGTTTCGCCACTAAAATATCATAACGTTTCATCATTAAAATATAATAATACTGCACATGTGTTATATTGCAATTCGTTCTATCCATTACGTTCTTGACTTAAGAAACGTATGACATATTGCAAATAACCATGGTCATGTTGCGCGACGGGCTGGGTTTGAGACTTTGCCGCGGGTTCAATCCCGGCCGGGGGTATGGTTCATCTACGTTTCTTTCCGGTGTAAATCTCAAGTTTTTACCTTCACGATAACTCTTGAAGTGATGCATGTTCACGTGTGGACAAGACGATCACTCTCTCAGTGATCAATGACGAATTACACGTACGTTAAGGTACAACGTGAGATGATTTGGTCTTTCACACCACGACGATTAATTCAGTGTTTCTCCTCAGAGTGTTTCATGATCCACGAACCACTAGCCTTTATCAAACATATTTAAATCAGAAACTGATCTCATTCAACCCCTCCTGACCCAAGCTGTACTGACCTTTTTTGCGTGGCTCATTACTGTACATTTTATACTGGAAAAGAACCAATCATTTCACGGCACCACAACAAGCGTGAATTTTGCTTTGCAATGACACTGTATTTTATGCAGAATGCATTTTATGAATTAATTTTTATTGCCCTCTTTTCAGCCCCTTCTTTTACTATATTTGTATGTTACATGCTCTTTTCTTCTTTTAATTCAGAACACACAAAATAATAGCTTCTGTGTGACATACATGCTTCTAACCGTCTCAAATTAACCACCACAGTAATCCTAACAATGAATTTAATAGCACTGGGAGTGGTATCATTACTAGGCAGGCGATATTCTGCAGTCCTAAATCTACTAAAATTAAAAAAACATAATTTAACTGGATAACCTAAATGGCACAATATTACAAGCATTTTCGTGATCTCTCACATTATAAAGGATCATTAAGGGTAATAAGCAAGAGTTGGTTGGTTACCTCACTCAACTGATTGTTAATAATTGTCAAAATCTTGATCCATACAAAATTTGTCTGTTGGAGAATTTTTTTCTAAAATGCTTATATCTATAAGATTCCATGAGCAAAACTCAATGAATTTTATTTTTGGCCAGTCGGAAAATTTTTTGAAGATTATAGCAATATTAATATAGCATTAGAAGCGTAAAGTGTAGATCACTGGTTGAACGAAATATAGCAGAATCGAGCTTAAAAAATATAAACTGGACTCGTTCATAATACATAAAATTTGCGAGGATTATAAGCAGTGCTGACAAACAAAGTCACCTGTAACTGACATATCACTCTCAACCTGACTAAAAAAAAAGTTAAGAACGATGGAGATACAGTTTATTATCGGCCCACTCTGAGGTAACTAACACCTGACTTAAAATATATGTCAAAGGTGACTTATCTACTATAAAACACCTGTTGATTTATTTTAATATTCCTTGACAGTGGTAATATACCAAACTACTTGCTATATTACCACTTTTCCTTTGCTTCAATTGCTTTTTTTTCACTTTTCGTCGATCATTGTATAGGACACCTTAACCCAATTAAATATTACCATGCTATGTAACATTTGCCAGTTGTATATTTTTTTTTCAGCTCTAACTGGTTTATTTTCATGAAAAAAAAATAACGTTCTCTGTTTTCTTGATTAATATTTTTTACCTTGCTCTGTAGGAGGTGACTGGTACAAATTAACTTAACCCAAATAGAGTTAAACTGTTTTAACAGATTCTAACCCTAATGACTTCATGCAACAAACACAAATTGATTTGCAAAATATAACAATTAGTGGCTCACTGATACCACCATGCAAGTGGCGTCACTCAAAATCAACCAGTCGTATTTTGGGGAAAATTTTGATTTCCTTGGTCCTGCAACATATCTACTGCCATATTTATTATTTTGCCAATGTAAATACACATATCTCTTACTGGTAGGAACTAAACAATCTTTCCCATAAACTGGTGGTCCCATCTTTACGTTGCTGTGGCTAAAATCACCATGACTGATCAACTGTAACTAGTTTAGAATTAGAAGAACTGACTGGCACTTCAATGACTTGACTGAAAAAAAATAGCATGTGAATTAAGTTACTATGGTAGCTTGGAATTTTAACCTCAATAATCGTAAATGAACAACCCAAGATAAATAATGTAAATAGCCATATGTTTACATGAGATTAAGTTTTGAGAGGCACGTAAGTTCCCCCGTCTTCTTAAGAGGCACGTAAGTTCCCCCGTTTTCTTAAGAGGCACGTAAGTTCCCCCGTCTTCTTAAGAGGCACGTAAGTTCCCCCGTCTTCTTAAGAGGCGCGTAAGTTCCCCTGTTTTAATAACATGTTCATTTTTCCACTATAAAGTACCGTTTCCATAATTACTATCGCATTTGCTTTGTCTGTTTCGTAAGGGAAAGTCTACTGTGTATTAAGGGGTACGTACGTACCCCTTAACACACGCTGAGAGATATAGTCTAGCAATGTTAATTACATACTGAGACGCAGTTCACATTTGTGATGAAATTGTGTTAACTATCTCAAAGATTTATGAGGCTCAGTACAAGCCTAAAATAAGGAATCCTTCCATTATTTTTCCTAGTAAGATAAATGGACATGCCGACCCACTTAAATATGATCAATAAACTACTAACTCTAATATACTTTAATTACCTGCTGACTTACAATATTCACCGCAATACCTGCTGACTTACAATATTCACCTTAATACCTGCTGACTTACAATATTCACCGCAATACCTGCTGACTTACAATATTCACCTCAATTCCTGCTGACACAATATTCACCTCAACACCTGCTGATATTACTCAATATTACCTCTACTACTGCTGACCTTCAGTATTCACCTCAATACCTGCTGACTTAAAATATTCACACCTCAATACCTGCTGAACTTACCATATTCACCTCAATACCTGCTGACACAATATTCACCTCACTACCTGCTGACTTACAATATTCACCTCAATACCTGCTGACCTACAATATTCACCTCAATACCTGCTGACCTACAATATTCACCTCAATACCTGCTGACCTACAATATTCACCTCAATACCTGCTGACCTATAATATTTCACCTCAATACCTGCTGACCTACAATATTCACCTCAAATACCTAAGTACCTAAAATATTCACCTCAATACCTGCTGACCTACAATATTTCACGTCAATACCTGCTGACCTACAGTATTTACGTCAATACCTGCTGACCTACAGTATTCACCTCAATACCTGCTGACCTACAATATTCACCTCAATACCTGCTGACCTACAGTATTCACCTCAATACCTGCTGACCTACAATATTCACCTCAATACCTGCTGACCTACAGTATTCACCTCAATACCTGCTGACCTACAATATTCACCTCAATACCTGCTGACCTACAATATTCACCTCAATACCTGCTGACCTATAATATTTACCTCAATACCTGCTGACCTACAATATTTACGTCAATACCTGCTGACCTACAGTATTCACCTCAATACCTGCTGACCTACAGTATATTCACCTCATACCTGCTGACCTATAATATTTACCTCAATACCTGCTGACCTACAATATTTACGTCAATACCTGCTGACCTACAGTATTCACCTCAATACCTGCTGACCTACAATATTCACCTCAATACCTGCTGACCTATAATATTTACCTCAATACCTGCTGACCTACAATATTTACGTCAATACCTGCTGACCTACAGTATTCACCTCAATACCAGCTGATCTACAATATTCACCTCAATACCTGCTGACTTACAATATTCACCTCAATACCTGCCGACTTACATGTGTCTTAACTCTCATATTGTCGGTATTTTATACCTTTCTTGCACAATGTTCACCTCAATACCTGCTGACCTGCAATATTCACCTCAATACCTGCTGACTTACAATATTCACCTCAATACCTGCTGACTTACAATATTCACCTCAATACCTGCTGACTTACAATATTCACCTCAATACCTGCTGACTTACAATATTCACCTCAATACCTGCTGACTTACAATATTCACCTCAATACCTGCTGACCTACAATATTCACCTCAATACCTGCTGACCTACAATATTCACCTCAATACCTGATGACCTACAATATTCACCTCAATACCTGATGACCTACAATATTCACCTCAATACCTGCTGACTTACAATATTCACCTCAATACCTGCTGACGTACAATATTCACCTCAATACCTGCTGACCTATAATATTTACCTCAATACCTGCTGACGTACAATATTCACCTCAATACCTGCTGACCTACAATATTCACCTCAATACCTGCTGACCTACAATATTCACCTCAATACCTGCTGACCTACAATATTCACCTCAATACCTTCTGCCTTACAATATTCACCTCATTACCTGCTGACCTACAATATTCACCTCAATACCTGCTGACTTACTTTAGCATACCTACTGACCCCCAATATATACATTACTTGCTGACATACTTTAGTATACCTACTGACCCACCTTATCCACCTCATTACCTGCTGACCTTCAGCATACCTGCGGACTCCCCATGATTCCTTCCAGTACCTGCACTCACTGACATACCCACAACTTGCTGATCCACTGACTTCCTCATGATTATTCTACGATAAATGTAATTTATGAAAACAGTCTAGCCTTTTAAAAACAGCTCAAATCTCCTTTGATAAACAAATTCTAAAGCCTTTTTAAAGCTATTTATTTAATCCTTTAGCAACTATAAACTAATCCTAAAAAAAAAATGTAAGATATAAATCATTTAGTAACTAAACATTCATTCTAACTCATTTAAAAAACTGTATAATTTATCTTTCAACATTAAATAAATTCTAAAGTATTTTGAAAATTTTTATAATTTAGACCTTAAGCAAAAGTTTATAAATATCCTCAAAGTTTTCTAGCAGCCTTTAAACAATAGTGTCACAGTAAAATTTAAATTTTATTTAAAAAAATCACAGTGACTAGGTTATAAACGTTGATTCAGTGGACGTGACCAAGTGACCATAACCTTCACTTGTCTGTCTCCTTGACCTCTACCTGACCTGAAGGAAGGTGCCCTGGCCTCCCCTTGACCCCCAGTAAACTAATATTACAGATGCGAAAAGTGAGTGAAGAGGAGACTGAGGAACAGGAGCTGGCCATGGCTGAAGCAACACAAATGGCTAACAACAACAACAACGTTTAAGGCACACTAACTCCAGGCCCATCACCATCTATCACGCCACCGGACAAAGGTTAACTCACGCTCTTAATGTACAAGGAACGGTAATAACGTACGGGAAACACAAGCTACGTACGGGAAACAAAAAAAAAATGTACGGGAAACGGAAACAGCAGGTTCCTCACTACGAGGAACCAGTGGATAGGGGCACTGTAGTCAATGTTATCAGTAAAATCAAATATTTATTAATGTTTTAATGGCACTACGAAGTCAAACTTGAAATGAATGTTTATTATTAGTGCAGCGGAATGATCAAAAAAAATATTAAGGCTATTGTAATCGTGTGATGTAAGTGATATGAAGCTTCCTCTGGCATTACCTGGAGGTTACCTGGAGGTTATTCCGGGGATCAACGCCCCCGCGGCCCGGTCCATGACCAGGCCTCCCGATGGATCAGGGCCTGATCAACCAGGCTGTTACTGCTGGCCGCATTGCCCCTGTCCTTGGATGGCATGTGTTAGATACACTGATAACACTGTGATCCTGCATAAAACAAATCATAGCTAATTACTTGCATATTGCAGATGTATCTAAATACTTTTATTCAGCGTATTTGTTTATGCTGCTGTAATTTGCTGCATTACGCTTTTGCAAATGGCAGTTCAATACAGTAAAACTATTAAATTTTGAGAAGATTTTTAAAGGATTATCGACAGTATGCAAGCGATTTAAGTCTTGATTATCATGTCAAAACAATACAAACTATCAACACTGAAATAACACAATATACATTTGAGGTATTAACAACTGCTTATTCAAAGTATACACATTAACTCCATTTGGCAAATATAGCTTGATATCAGCACATACACATCTAAGAATACACTTAATATGCCTAGATGTCAACGATCAAGATGTGATGGTGCGTCCTAGCCAGGTCTTCAAATTTGTTAGGTCAGTCAGTCGCCTGACCTCATCTCTCCCTCCGTCAGATGCGCCTCAACCCTCCAGGCAGCGAAAATGACCCCAAGAGGCAAAAGAGAGTGTGAGGAAGAAGGTTCTGAAGATGTGCTGGAATTTCCTGTGTGTGTATTTAACGATGATTGACCCAATGAACACGAACGGGTTATCTGTATAGATGGAAAGGCACTATAGACTTCACTGTGGAAGTACACTAGAGTGCTGCGGACGAATCCATTAAAATTTGTCACCATATCTGATTTAAATAACTAAAAGGACCTTCTGCTCTAGTAATGTTATGTATTGTATATATTTATTGATTTTTAATTCTAGGTATTTATAGTACAGTATATTCATAATGAATAAGAAATTCAAGTTGCAAATATTCTGTAAGCTCCCAGTGTTGAGAAAAAGGGTATGTTGGAAGACACGGTATAATAAGGAACCACAATCGAGGAACGACTAACCACCCAGGTAGCCAAAGCTAAAATTAAAAGTCGCTGTATAGCCCTTGTGGCTTAGCGCTTCTTTTTGATAATAATAATAATAATAATAATAATAATAATAATAATAATAAAATTAAAAGTAGCTAAAAGTGTATTATCAAGTCAGATGAGCCAAATAGATATTATACATTAGCTTAGCCATACCTACTGAACGTGTGAAGTGTATTTTTATACTAAACCTACGTTCAGAATTTTGTAGTATTGCTAATACTAATTGCAAGTGTTCTGTGTCGTGATGAAATGTACGAATAATGATTAATATAATACCATTTGGCCAGGTGATCTAGAGAGCTGTGCAAGGAACATTCTAATTCACGTTCATGTTGCAAACATGTTTATGCAAGATTTAGTGTAACTTCAAATAGGACTCGAAGATTATTTAAAAAAAAAAAAGTTGAAAAACGTATGCAAGATTAGGAAATTTTCATTAGGATATGTTGCTCTTAACACAAGTCTCAATACTATTAAAAATGGTTATAATTATGACCATTATTTTTAAAGGGGTTGACCGGTAAGCCAGCGGAAGGCCTCGGTCAGATGACCAAAAGCTCCAACGGCGGGTCATCATCTAAGACCCGCGTCAGGAAACACTTGCTCTGTGTCCTGATGAACCTAACCTAACCTAAGTCTTAATCCCATGATGACTAAGTTGCTGGTAAGCCAAACGCATCCTAATGTAAGCTTCTTAACGTTGCACTGTGTGTATTTTACACGCTTATCGGTATTGTATACCTTGTGAGATACCTTGTGTCATACGTGCTTTTTAAGAGAACTCTGCTAAATCAGCTGGCCAAATGTCTGATTTAATTAGCATTGTTCCAGCTTGTGGGAGCTGCGCGGCTGCCTGTGTGACTTAATTTTATTCTGCCACGTTTGTCAACATTAAAAACTCGCTCGCGGCTTTTAAATGTGCAATTTAGGGATATATGTCAGTGAGTAGCGAGTGTGTAATAAATACGGCTCGTATTTAACAAAATTTCCATGAAAATAAGGACATGTTACCACAATGCATCCGGAAAAGTCTTCTTCATTTCAGAGCTTAAAAAACTTTCACCGAGTAAATACGTCATCTCTAGGAACAAAATTCAAAAGCCACAATACAAAGAATGCAACGAACGAATTTATTTCAACGTATTAATCACTACTTCACGACATTTGGTTACACCTCTGCTGCTGCTGTTGCTGGAATTTTGTCATAAAGAGCCTTCAACAGGGTGAGGATATTTATATATACTAACATCTGATCGTGTCAACTGCTTCGTAATTGCAGACTCCATTTACTTAGTATGGCTGCGGGCTCATCTTCAAGCAGTTTGTTACCAATTAAATCACATGACGACAATAATTCATTTTTTTTCTGTAAATAAAACACGAGCATATGTAAACTACTTCTCCCGATATTTAAAAAAAAAAATAGTACTGTTTTGCCATATTTCAATATCCTTTTCATAAAATTTCTTCCTGGACGCTCTCATTAACTGACTGAGTTTTTTTTTTTTTAATATTTACTCATTCGTCAGATTTTTATAATAAAGTGAATCTCAAAAATTATTGAACATCGATTTAAAAATTTTTTCCTCACAATCTCAATTTTTAATTAATTTATACTGACTTGTCCACATCTAGTATTTATTTTTTCTGTAATTTTGTAATATAAGCTGCCATAATGATGCATATATTTGACTATGCTTGGAAAATAAAAATAATTATAAGACGAGATACCTTTACAATGTGAATTACGTACTGAAATAACTTCTAAATCCCACTGTAATAAATATCCCCCCCTTTACCTTAATTAAATTGCTGCTTAGAGCAGAATGCCATACATTTTTTTTGTCTTGTAAAATAAATAATCCCGTAAAGAAAGTTAGTTTTATTCTGACCTCCATAGACATAAGAACATAAAGAAGGAACACTGCAACAGGCATACTGACCCATGCGGAGCAGGTCCATGTCCCCCCCCCCCCGGATTAGACCAATGACCCACCCCCCGGATTATCCCAATGACCCACCCAGTCTGGTCATCCCCACTCAAAGATGGACCACTGTACCAGACCCAGCAGCACAAGTTAGTCAGGTCTAACTCACACCCACCCACACCCATTCACGTATTTATCTAACCTATTTTTAAAACTACACAACGTTTTAGCCTCAATAACTGTACTCGGGAGTTGGTTCCACTCATCCACAACTCTATTACCAAACCAGTACTTTCCTAAATCCTACCTGAATCTGAATTTTTCCAACTTGAAACCATTGCTGCGAGTCCTGTCTTGGCTGGAAATTTTCAGCACACTATTTATATCCCCTTTATTTATTCCTGTTTTCCATTTATACACCTCGATCATATCCTCCCTAATTCTACGCCTTTCGAGAGAGTGCAGATTCAGGGCCCTCAGTCTATCCTCATAGGGAAGATTTCTGATACATGGGATCAACTTTGTGATCCTCCTTTGTACGTTTTCCAGAGCATTTATTGAAGGTTTGAGTATAGACCTTCACTGTTAGGGACAGGAAGCTTGTGACTTATTGGAGGTGTCCTGTAGCTGGATCGCTAGCGTACTCAGCTCACACACTGAGGTCCGGGGTTTGAATCTCCTCCGGTACGGATGGAAAACATTAGGGACGTGTTTCCATAAGACACCTTCTGTCCCTGTCCCTGTTCACCCATCAGTTTCAAATGGGTACCTGGGTGTTAGTCTACTGGTGTAGATCGCATCCTGGGACAAAACTGACCTAATTTTCCCGAAATGCTCAGCATAAGAAGCGGGTTTGTATGTAGTAGTATGTCACTGATGTCAGCTAGGACTGTATAAACCATACCACCGGCCGGGATTGAACCCGCGGTCATAGAGTCTCAAAACTCCAGCCCGTCGCGTTAGCCACTAGACCAGCTAGCCACAATAAGATTCATCCAACTAGGCATATTTCTACACCATAGGAAGGTTAGCACAGGCACCACTGTGACCACGGTCACGCTAGCTGGAGATTCGTCTGTAAAAACTTGCATTTGTGGTCACAGTGGTGCCTGTGCTAACCTTCCTATGGTGTAGAAATATACCTAGTTGGATGAATCTTATTGTGGCTAGCTGGTCTAGTGGCTAACGCGACGGGCTGGAGTTTTGAGACTCTATGACCGCGGGTTCAATCCCGGCCGGTGGTATGGTTTGTTTGCAATCGTGTCATTACGATTTCTTGAGTCATAGGACTGTATACCTTGTACATGTACTTGCAGTAAATAAAGATATTATTTAAGACTATCAGTCAGCCATGAACCACTTCACTAAGTTACTACGACTGTGTGTGTGTGTGTGTGTGTGTACTCATCTAATTGTGGTTGCAGGGGTCGAGACTCAACTGATCCCTACTAGGTCCACTCTCTGCTCCCTGACCTTTATCATACCTCGTCTTAAGCTATGTATGGCTCCCTGCCTCCACTACATCACTTGCTGGACTATTCCACTTCCTGACAACTCTATGACTGAAGAAATACTGTGTGTGTGTGTGTGTGTGTGTGTGTGTGTGTGTGTGTGTGTGTGTGTGTGTGTGTGTGTGTGTGTGTGTGTGTACTACCAGCCTCTCATTTTTTCTAGATTAATTTTCCATAGAGATTCTCATAATCACTTCATTAATCCCCATTGTAAACATATTATAGGTTAGGTTAGGTTAATTTGAATTGAGTTAGGTTACATGAACCTATAAAAAGTATATTAAATTATAAATAAGGTGACCAAACGTAACCAAGAAGCGTTTAAATATACACGATCACATATGGTACGAGAATGGGTTCAATAATCGCGATGACCCCTCAAGGGAGGCACTCTTGATCCAAGGAACTGAATTTATCCTCCCTTGGGATAGAATCTGATTGCCTCCCATTCGCCACATGGCCCCTGAGAATTTAGGGCTTCGCCCTGATTACTGCGCAGTGACGCTCATGCTGGGGCGAGCACTGCCGCCTGGATGGACAATAAATTATTGGACATTCTCACCCCAGCCACTCATCCACACACACACTACTCTCTACTAACCATACCCCCGGCCGGGATTGAACCCGCGGTCATAGAGTCTCAAAACTCCAGCCCGTCGCGTTAGCCACTAGACCAGCTAGCCACAATAAGATTCATCCAACTAGGTATATTTCTACACCATAGGAAGGCTAGCACAGGCACCACTGTGACCACAAATGCAAGTTTTTACAGACGAATCTCCAGCTAGCGTGGCCGTGACGAACTCTAGCTCAAGTCCCTTCACTGCCGTCAACATGACTCAAGAAATCGTAATGACACGATTGCAAACAAACCATACCCCCGGCCGGGATTGAACCCGCGGTCATAGAGTCTCAAAACTCCAGCCCGTCGCGTTAGCCACTGTACTTCCACTGTACTGTACTTCCTCCTCGTCCTCCTGAACCATGGGCGGCTACTCCAGAACCAAGGGCGGCTACTCCAGAACCAAGGGCGGCTACTCCAGAACCAAGGGCGGCTACTCCAGAACCAAGGGCGGCTACTCCAGAACCAAGGGCGGCTACTCCAGAACCAAGGGCAGCTACTCCAGAACCAAGGGCAGCTACTCCAGAACCAAGGGCAGCTACTCCAGAACCAAGGGCGGCTACTCCAGAACCAAGGGCGGCTACTCCAGAACCAAGGACGGCTACTCCAGAACCAAGGACGGCTACTCCAGAACCAAGGACGGCTACTCCAGAACCAAGGGCGGCTACTCCAGAACCAAGGACGGCTACTCCAGAACCAAGGACGGCTACTCCAGAACCAAGGACGGCTACTCCAGAACCAAGGGCGGGTACTCCAGAACAAAGGGCGGGTACTCCAGAACAAAGGGCGGCTACTCCAGAACAAAGGGCGGCTACTCCAGAACCAAGGGCGGCTACTCCAGAACCAAGGGCGGCTACTCCAGAACCAAGGGCGGCTACTCCAGAACAAAGGGCGGCTACTCCAGAACCAAGGGCGGCTACTACAGAACCAAGGGCGGCTACTCCAGAACCAAGGGCGGCTACTCCAGAACCAAGGGCGGCTACTCCAGAACCAAGGGCGGCTACTCCAGAACCAAGGGCGGCTACTCCAGAACCAAGGGCGGCTACTCCAGAGCCAAGGGCGGCTACTCCAGAACCAAGGGCGGCTACTCTAGAACCAAGGACGGCTACTCCAGAACCAAGGACGGCTACTCCAGAACCAAGGACGGCTACTCCAGAACCAAGGACGGCTACTCGAGAACCAAGGGCGGCTACTCGAGAACCAAGGGCGGCTACTCCAGAACCAAGGGCGGCTACTCCAGAACCAAGGGCGGCTACTCCAGAACCAAGGGCGGCTACTCCAGAACCAAGGACTGCTACTCCAGAACCAAGGACGGCTACTCCAGAACCAAGGACGGCTACTCCAGAACCAAGGACGGCTACTTCAGAACCAAGGAAGGCTACTCCAGAACCAAGGACGGCTACTCCAGAACCAAGGGCGGCTACTCTAGAACCAAGGGCGGCTACTCCAGAACCAAGGACGGCTACTCTAGAACACTACCCTGAGTCATTCTGTTCTGTGATTGGTCAGTAATGTGTATATTACATAGCATAAAATTAATATAAAATATAGACATATACAGTGTTCACTGTTATCTTTTTTTTTTTTTTTTTCAAGATTTTTGCCTTTTTTTCATCTGTGTTTTTTTCTGAATTTAGGAATCCTAATTCATTAATACTGATGTTAAAAGATTTTTTTCACGACTAATTCGAA